TACTTGGAGCCATATTCTTGGATGTTCCACGAGTTTCTACCAGACCGATAAATCTGTTTGTTTTTTTGAAAATTTATGTTCCACATTTGTCCCACTTCATTCAGAACGCTCTACTGTCTTCCCTTTCAGAGTAGTCAGCAGCGATAGCAGGGCACTGTCTAGCTCTGATTGTAGGGTCTCAGAGGCTGTGGTTCTTGCCGTTCATTGTCCATCAGGCTAATTGTTTCTGTGCTTCTTCTGTTTTCTTCGCTCTGCTTTGCTCAGAACAGGGAGAAACCAATAATGGCGCCTTAGAGAGCTGCTCAGAAGCCTTTAAACCCTAGTTGCTACTCTCCAAAGTAGGATAAAGAGCACTGTCGTTGTGGACCTATATTAAGGGGTTTGGTTATGGCAAAGGGACTTAATAAGTTTCCACAATTTTCATGGATATATGGCACGTCTAAACAAATATGTAGAAATCTCCTCTGTTAAACCTGTATGTATCCTTTCTAGACCTGTTCAGCTAAGTGGTCACTTGCAGACTATTGTTAGTACTGTTATTGCAGTATCGGGGATGTAATAGTATTCATCTCTGTTGCCTTCCACTTTTATACCTCACTCTGTGTCATTCTTTGCCTGGGTAAATTTTAGCTGACCACCCCTATTGCAAATTGCCTTTCTTTTCACCTATGTTAATATTTATCTCCCTTCTGTTTAGTGATTTCCCCTCCCTTTCTCTTCCATCCTTGTAACCTTCAAATAACGTTTCTGTGTGTAACACTTTCATTGGCTTTTGATAGTAATGGACTGATATAATATTTATCCTTTTGTGATTGCCTTCTTTTACTCAGCACAAGGTCCTCCACTTCACCCCTGTTGTGAGGTGATTCTCAGATTCCTCTCATTCGCTCCCTACCATTGAGTTGCTTCTGACTCAGAGTGACCCCATAGGACAGGCTCACACAGAATACAATTGCCCGTATGGGTTTCCGAGGCTGTGAGTCTTTGTGGGAGAAAACAGTCCCATCTTTCTCCCCTGTAGTGAGTGGTGCTTTCACACCGCTGTCCTTGTGATTTGCCACCATGTGTAATTTTCTATTTTTATCTTTGTGTCTAAGGTGTGTCTCTTGTAGATAATGATGGGTCCTGATTTCTTATTCATTCTGTCACTGTCTCTTATCTGGTGCATTTCATTAATTTGTATTCCATATAAAGTGTAACTATTGAGAGGTATTTTACTACTGCCGTCTTGCTGTGTTCTTTTTGTGTTGTAGATGATTTCTTTGCTCGATATGTTGTTGTTTTTCTGTGTTTGTTTTGTTTATGATTTTCTTGGCATTTGCTCTGTTCCTTTGTTTTAGTGCTTGGTAAGTCTTTACAGTATTCTAATTTTTTGCTTTAATGAGATTTTTTTTGATGATTAATTTTATTTGAGATAACTCTGTAATTTATTATTACCTTCTTATGCTTAATACAGTCCACCCCAAATTGACATCACCTTATTTCCTCCTTTTGAATGTTCTATAACTACACCATTTATTCCTTCTTTTTGGTTTGCACTTGTTACTGTTTATAAGTTGACATCACTGGTGCTCTTTTTTCAGCTTATAGGTTTAATTTAATTCATACTTTGATAGCTGAGTTAATGTTGTCATGCGTTTTAATTTCAGATTGTTGGCTATCATTGAGAGTTCTCTGTCCAAAGGAATCCCTTTCCCATTTCTTTTATGGGTTGTCTGTTGGTTTGTTGTCAATTTATTTAATTTCTATTTATCTGGAAATGTCATAATTTCACTGTCATATTTGAGGGACCGTTTTGGTTGATATATAATTTTGGGTTGGCCCTTTTTTTCCCCCTTTAGTGTTTCATATTTATCATCCTATTATCTTTTGCCTGCATGATTTCTACTTAAAATTAGAGCTAGTCTTATTGGGTCTACTTTGTACATAACTTTTCATATTTCCAGAACTGCTTTGGGTTTTTTATCTTTCTTTGTCTTTATAAAGTTTGATTATAATATATCTTGGTGATTTTATTTTGGGATTGAACCTATTTTGGATTTTTCGAGTTTCTTGGATAAATGTCTTCTTATCTTTCTTGATTTTAGGGACATTTCTTCCAATAAATCTTTGACAACTTTTTTTTAGGCCTTTAGTTGTCTCTTCCTGTTCTGTAAATCCTATCACATATATGTTATTTCTCTCAGCGTTTTTCCACATAATTCTTAGGCTTTATTTTTTTCTTTTTTTTTCCTGAATGTTCCTCTAATAGATATGCATTAAGAGTTTTATCTTCTCTTGACCCCAGTGAATAGGTTAGCAGATGTGGCTGAGTGGCATTACTGACTCTTGACTGATGGGCGTTAAAAAAAACAGGGGTAAAGGGGAAGAAAAGAAAAATAAAATGACCTAATGTCGGGGGATTAAATGTAGAGAAAATGTTTTGAGAAACGATGTACAAATGCGCTTTACACAATTGATGTGTGTATGGATTGGGATAACAGTTGTGTGAGCCCCTAATAAAATGTTAAAAAAGAAAAAAAAAGAAAAGTAAGGGTTCATAAGAAAATGAAAAAAAAAAAAAAAAAAATAAAATGTAGGGGAAGAGGTGAACAAAAAATTAAGGAAAAATAAAAAAGAAAGAAGAAAGATAAAGTAGAAAGAAGAAAGATTTAAAAGGGAGGAAGGCAGCTCAGTGCTCGTGCAAACGCTCACCCAGAGCTGCAATGGGAGTCCAGCGCTCGTTCTGTGGGAGGAGCATTTCCACATGAGGAGGGATTAGGTAGAGTACCATTGGTCTAGCTCAGGGATCGGCAAACTGCAGCTCTCCAGTCTTACGTGGCTTTTGCAGTACATACACTTGACTCTGAAATAAAATTGAAAAAAAATGTAAAGGATATTATTCAGATAATGATGATTTCACTTGCTTGGAAAAATGTATTTGTGGTTCTCGGATAATTTTTGAATTGTTGTGAGGGACAGGATTGGCTCTCCTGTCTCAAGAGTTTGCCAACCCCTGGTCCAGCTGGTGCTCACTCCATCGATTATTGTAGCACCAGTGGAGCAGGCCCTCTGACCATGGAGGCAGTGGGGGTGTCATTCCTACTCAGCAGGAAAAATAAAAATAGAAAGGAATAGGTTGGGAAGAAGACAAAGCCACAAAAGAAAGACAGAATTAAAGTGGGAAGAAAGGAAGGGAAAGAGAGAAGGAGAAGGAAGGGGAAAAAGAGGGGAAGGGGAAAAATAAAGTGGGACAGTGAAGAGAGTGGAATATTGGTACTTGCCCCTGTGGGAGGATGCACAACCAACTGCAGAGGTGAGCGGGAATAATGTGGAGCAAAGAGGGGTTAGGACATAGAACTTCCTCCGTGGTCCTTCAATCACACTTATTTTTAGCAACTTTTAGAAAGAAGATGTAATATTAAAATGCCTTCATTCTTAAATTTCAGTATGGCAAGTTTGCGTTTCCTATTTTTTGTAAAAAGTTGAAACATCCACTTGAATCATCTCTACTCCCATAGTTCATTGTAAATATTTATGTGTAGTTTTAGGACATAGTCTCAAGATATATTGAATTTCACATAAAACTTCCTTAGTTTTATTAAGGTTTACCAGTATCAAATTTCATTGCCTTTTTTTCCTGACTAGTTTGTACTCTAACTAATAAACAGAGACAGAAGAGAAGGCAGGTACCAATGGAGATTTCTGTGATCAGAAACTTGCTATAAAATGCAGCTGTTCTACTACATTTTCCCCCTTTCTAACAGATCATCTCTGTGAAACAAACATTGAATGATAATCTTCTAATGTTTTGGCCAACTGCTCAAATTTATTCTTATGAATATGGAAGTCAACACCAACTTCCCCTTTTGATTCAGGACCGTGTGGTCTGGTTCATCTTGGAATCAGGCCCTTCACCTTTCACAATCACAGTATATCTCAGTTACTTTTACCCAACTCTGAATCTTTAATCAGTGCTTAGAATATAGTAGACTCTCATTAGGTCACATGTTTTAGGTCACCAAGTATAAAGCAAAGAGAAGTCTTTTTTAAAATTTTATTCAGGGATTGCTTATTTTATTGGTTATTTTGCCAGTACAGATACATTTCAGGGACGTGGGAGGATCAAATGGTGAAGGTGCTGTCCATTGACTCCATGAGAGAGACCTCCCACACTCGGGTCTTCTAAAGATGGGGACAGAAAGGAGGCTCCTGAACGTGGATGGTCAGGGCCATCTCATAACTTCGCAAAGAGAACTCATCTCCAATTTTGTTCACCTCTCCGATGCAGAAAGCGTTTGATAACAACTGCCCTTTCACTTCATATGCATGTGAAAGTTGAACAGTGAGCAAAGGAAGACCAGAGCAGAGTCAATACATTTGAATTATGGTGCTGGTGAAGAATACTCAGACCACTGTCAAAAGAACAAGCAAATCTGTCTTGGAAGAAGTAAATCAGAATACGCCTTAGGTACAAGGATGGTCCTACTTTGGACAAATTATCGGGAGAGACAAGTCCTTAGAAAAGAGCATCCTGCTAGTAGAAGATACGCAACAAGAGGAATTGATTCAGTGGCTTCAACCACGGGCTCCAATATAACAGTTATGAGGAAGGCACAGGATCCCGTGGTATGTTGTTCTGCCGTATGCAAGGTCACCATGAGTCAGAACTGACTCCACAGAATCTAGCCCCAGCAGTCCTTTGGGTTTGCATGTTCACGTAACTGTCCCCCATGCCCAAATCCCCAGACTCAAGTCTACTCTCTGAAATTCAGAACAAATATATTCCATTAGTCATGCACAGGTCTGTGGATAGTTCTGGACATGGCAATTCTCATTCCCTCAAGACCAACTCTTTCCTGATTTCCATAAGGCACCATTTCTTCTTAGCTTCCAGATTTTCCTACTGGTAAAAGAGAGCTGAGAGTACCCTCCCTTATTCCTGGTGATCAGGATGGGGATAGGACAGGTTTGAGGCAGGGACCACATACTGACTGTAATTTTTGCTCTTTCACTTTCAGCATTTTTGTATTGCTTCCCTGCAATTTCCCTCCTTGGGCTTTTCCCACAGATCAACACTTTCTGCATTTATCTTTTGGAACAAATTGACATGCTGTTTTTTGGGGGTTCTGGTAAGTCATTTATATTTTAAGCTTCTTTAAACGATTCCATAATTGAAAGAAGGGCTACGGAGCCTTTAGCATGGGAAGCCTAGAAAGTTGAGTTCCTTTGTCCTAAGTATTTAAGTGACGTCAGTATTGGTTAGCCTGATCAATCAAGCCTGATTGATCCTCGTCCATTCAGATTCATTCAGCCAAATTGAGAGTGGTTTACTTCACTTGGTGGTTGAATGAAAGTACAATTAAAGTCAACTGGGTTACATAGGGTCTCTGGGCTTTGAAACAGCAACAGGGCTTTTCTAACTATTGTTGAGATAAACACTTAGTCTGAGTCAATGTGTGAGTGTGTGTAAATATAGGTGGGCATGTTTTTGAGCATGGATATGTGTGAGGTAATCTTGAATGTATTTGTGAAGGTGAGTGTGAATATGTGTCTGTATGACATTATGTGTGCATGCTTGTGTGTTACAGAGGGGAGCCCTGGTGGCACAGTGTTTATGAGTTGGGCTGACAACCACAAGGTCAACAGTTTAAAACCACTGGCCACTCCAGGAGAAAAAGACAAGGCTTTCTTTTCCTATAAAGAGTTGCAGTCTTGGAAACCCATGGGGACAGTTCTGCCCTGTCCTATTAGGGTCCTTATGACTCGGATTTGACTTGATGGCAGCGAGTTTGCGGTTTTGTGGTGGTTTTTTTCCTGCGTGTTATATAGACAGGTGGCCTTTATCCTAAAACTATCACCAGGATTTTCATTTTATACAGGGACAGAGCTTTACTTTAGACTGAGTTAAATTTAAATCTCATCTTACATTTACTTGTTGACTTCATACAGAATGTTTATCCTTTCAGCTTACTCTTCTCAAAAGGGAATTAATGCCATCCATATAGGATTACTGTAAGGATTAAATGAAACCATGTGCACAGACCCTTAAAACATAGCAGCTGCTCAATGACTGTTACCACCCATTCTACAGGCATGTGCATACATATGCATATAAATATAGACAGGTGCATACAGGCAACATGGTCAAGAATGCACACGTCCATACACTCACATGCTCACACATTCACACACATGAGCACTTGATTGTGTACACTTTCTGTCTTTGTTTTCTCTTCTCTCACTCACACTGTTTCTCTTTCTACAGAAATTGCTACCCCTGATTTTTCCTTCCCTAAATTCAAACTGCCACCACAAATGATGCTTGAAGTATATTGCAAAAGGGTCTTTCTAAATGCATTCCTTGTGAATTTTTAATCAGTTGGTCAGTACTTTTTTGTGTGTTGATACTTGGTCAGTACTCTTCGATCCCATAGAGTTGCTCTTTGAATGTTGTCACCTCTCTACAGCACTTTATAGTGTGTGTTGATTTTGGAAGTGTCCATCAGGGCTAACCTATGGATGTTTGCCTTGCAGCAGTGTGTGGGGTTCTGTCAGCTGTTTATGGTGTGGCCCGGAGTTGTATGGCCATTGCTGTGCTCCACGTGCTGTGCTTCAGTGCCATAAAGGTAAGAGAGGATGCTGCTACTTCTTTCTCGCAGCACTTATATCCGCTTGTTGGCTAATCAAACAGGTATTTCCTCCAAATAAAAAATAAACTGGGTCAGTACAGATCAGGGAGTATCAAGGTCTGGCTGGGCAGGCCTTCACTGGCTTAGGTGATGCCGCTTTGCTGAATACAGAGGGCCCACCTGGGCTGGCAGCCTTGTGGCCCCTCTTCTAAAGAGGTCTCGAAACCATGACCACGTCAGAACACTAGGGAAGGCCCTTCTGATTAACATGGTGGTCATCATTTGCTCCTTCTGAAATAGTGTTCAAAAACTAGAAAGTGATGTATTTACATAAAGTTACGTAGACCAAATTGGTCAGAAAACCCTGATGAAAGCAACTTGATTATATAATCTAGAAAACAAAAGATCTAGACCTCCCTATACCCCAACCTGAAATTGCTCTAGGCACTAGTATCTCTTGTTCCATGACAAACATTTCTTCTCTGGCTTTGTAAATATTGATGAGTGTCTTTTCTTTCTTATTCACTATTTGTATTTTTATCTTTATATTATTGTTGTTTTAGCCTTACCACCTCATTTAGAACTTGCTTTATATTGTTTCTGTTGGGTTTCCAGTTGGTGAAGCACAGGAGGAGTGGATGCATAGTGACAATAATGACACAGGGTGTATAGGGGTGCAGGGGTGGGGGATAGGTGCTTGGGAAGGAAAGGGGATTTCAAGAGTAAACAATGAAGGCAGGAGCTGGGAGGGAGCACTACAACGGATTGTGATTTCAAAACTCATTTTAAAGATGATTTAACCGTGGTGTGTATGTGTGTGTGCGTGTGCGGGGGGGGGGGGGGGGGGGGGGGGGACGATGTTCTAAAATTGATGCGGTAATGATTGTACAATTCTTCTTGATAAGATTAAATGATTGAACTATTGAATTGTATGATATATAAATTATATGCCAATAAAACTATTGGGGGAAAAAAAAGAAAATGGAAGCTCTATAGACTTGTCTAAATGAATAAAATGCAAACTTAGAGAGACAACAAGGAGCCCTGGTGGCATAGCAGGTTACCATTGGTCTGTTCACTGCAAAGTCAGCATTTCAAATCCCCCAGAAACTCCTCAGTAGAAAGAAGGCACTCTGCTCCCATAGAGATTTGCACCCTTGGAAATACAAAGTGGCAGTTCTCCTCTTTCCTCTAGAGTGGCGGTGAGTCAAAATCACCTCAATGCCAGTGAGGTTTTTGGTTAGCTGGGCAGGAAGGGAAACCTTACAAAACCCCCTACCTGCTGCCATTGAGTCAATTCCAATGTGTAGCAACCTTGAGTTAGTTAAAGTTTATTGTGCCTACCTGGCTGATAAACACATGTGGGGTTAATTGAAGAGCGGAGGGATAAATGGCTTAGTGAGCCTCGCCTTTCAAGTTCTCGGGTCTCTTGCTTTCTGAAGCTCCGACCAGGGTGTAGCTGCCTTAGCCAGTTCCCTGCTTCAGTTTGGAAGGCTCACTTCCTGCAAGACATCCCCGAGGAGAAGCCACATGGACCTACCCTGATGCAGCCCTGGGTGCTGGAGCACCCGTGTGGAGACCCCTGCCAGCACTGAGATGCTTACACATTCACTGATTCGGCTTTCCTCCTGCAGTCGGCATCATGGTGTGTGTTTTGTGAGATGGAGGAGGACTTTGTGGACTGGTGTCGGACATATGGGCTAATGTTGGACTTGTGGGCTTGGGCAGCACTGGGTTGGGATGTTTTCTTGATGTGCACTTAACCTTTATATAAAACTCTTATACATGAGTTCCTGTGGATTTGTTTCTCTAAAGTACCGAGACTAACACAAACCTTAAATGGCAGAGGAGAACTGCTCCATAGGGTTTCAGAGGTTGTCAATCTGTAGGGAAGCAGACAGCCTCTTCTCTCTCCAGAAGATTGTCTGGTGGATTGAACCACTGATCTTTTTATTAGTAGCCCAGGACTTAAACCCCCTGTGCCACCAGGACTCTTTAAGGGAAGCCTAAGGCATGAAGCCTGACATCGAAAACCAAAACCAAGACTAGCTTCCGGAACACAAGTATGCATAGAAAATAATTGTTACTATTAGCCATACATGACTCAGCTGTGGATAATGCAATCCCGTGTATTTGTAAGTTGTGATGGAATAACAGGGAAGGTTAGGTGTATGTCTTGAAAGGGAAAGCTGGGCACGGCATTCTTTCATATTAGAACGTCAGGAGCTCTGATCTGTGCGTTTGGATGTTAGTTGCTGTTGAGTTGACTCTGACTTATGCAAAGTAGAGCTATGCGCCACAGAATTTTCAGTGTCTGATTTTTGGAAGTAGATCTCCAAGCAGCTATTTATTTATTTATTTTGAGTCACCTCTGGATGGACTTGAAAAGCCAACCTATCACTTTGCAGCTGAGTATGTTAACCATTTTCACCACCCAGGGACTACAGGATGCCCATAATGTCTAAAAATAATAACAGATATACAGAATGTTGTCAAGGGCATCTACAATATATAAATATGAAAATTAATATTTTATATATATTTACTTTATTTACACCATTTATCTAATGCTTTAAACCATATATACTTCTTCTATAAAATAATACTTAAATGTAAAAGGCTAAATAAAAGTAATATTTATTCTAAATTATTTTAATACAGATCACATGGACTTTTTTTTATCAAGTCAAAAATGAATTTAGAACCTTATTAAACTTATCAGTGGCAGTGCTGAAAAATAATTGTTTAGTTACTTTTTGGAAGAACAGAAATGAAAAGGTTTGAACTCCCAATACTTCACAATTGAATTAATCAGTAGTAATCAGTGATATGATCTCTCCTATCTTATTTTCCTCTCGTTCCTGTAGTTCTTTTCTTTCAGTGGGAAAAATGTTTCCTTTTCTAATACTTACAAAGGTAACCTATGTGCTAGTGAATATCATATTGGTTGCCGTGTTTACACTACTGCATTTCTTTTGTTTGATATATTTTACTTTATTTGGTCAAAGAAATTTTAGATAGGACATAAAAAGTACTAGCCATAAAATAAATAATTGCTAAGTAAGGCTTCATTATGTATTTAAAACTATTATTCATAAAACACCATAAATGAAATGGAAAGTCAAGTCACAGACTGGAATAAACTGCATTTCATTCAGAAAAGATACTTTACATGAGTGTTTTCTCAGTTCTTGCATTTCTAAGAGTATCTTTCTACTGCCTTAAAAAAAATGGCTAATTGGAGGATTCTTGATCTTGTGATCAAACAAGTGTTTTTGTTTTCCTTTCAGGGCTCTTTATACAGTGTTCTTTTGTGCCCTCATATTTTTTGTTTATTATTCATTCTCCCCCAAATTCATTTATAAAGGGCTGGCTTATTCAGGGATAATTTGCGTAACATCAAATTAACCTTGTAAAGTCTACAGTTTGGTAAGTTTCAATGCATGTATATAATCATTTATAAACACCATAAACAAATTATATAACATTTCTACCGCTGCAAAAAGCTCTCTTATATTCCTATTTTGTCAATCTCTTTCTAGGCATCATCAACTTCCAGCTACTGCGGATTGCTGTCTTTTTAAATTTTTAAGTCAACTCCGCATACAATAAATCAACAAATTTAAGTCTATAACTGGGTGAATTTTAACAAATAAAAATAGTGAAGTAAACAATCCTTATTCGTAAAATATTATTTTCATATTCCATTGCCATCAATCCCCTGCTCTTCCCAGGCTTTTGCAACCACTGGTCTACTTTCTGCCACTACAGTTTTGCCTTTTCTAGTCATCCATTTTAATGGAATTACGTGATTTTTTGTGTGCCTGGCTTCTTTCATTTAGCTTTTTAGATTCAATTATACTGTTGCATATTGTTTATATATGTACACATATATGTGTCTATTCAGAGAGATTTATCTCAAGGAAATGGTTCATAGAGTTATAAGGCAGGCAAGTTCCAATTCCAGGGGTCAGTTACCAGGCTGGAGGCTTCTCCTGACTCACATAGCTACCGGGCTGAGGAACTCAAAATCAGCGGGTCAGATGGTAGACTTCTGAAGCAGAAACAAACAAATCCAAGTTTGACAGTTAAGATGGCAGTTTATTTATACTCCTAAGATCAGCAGCCAATTTTCAGGACACTGCAAAGATCCAGAGGTCAGATGATGAGCCCAATGCAGGACCCAGCAAAAAGCAAGCAAGCATTACCAGAACATCTTTCTGTAATGGAAGCAGGCCACATCCTAAAGAAACTCCCTTTCAATTAATTATCTGCTCATAGCAGATCTCATTATGGAAGCGAGTACATTATATTAGATCTCATCATGAGGTGGTGACTACATCTTAACTGAGAATCCTGGCATAGCCAATTTGGCATGCAACCTTAACTATCACACATGCATTAATCGTTTTTTCTTCTCTTTTATTACTGAGTAATGTGTCATGTGTGTGCCTGTTTGTGTATGTGTACATATGTGTGTTTACTAGGGTAAGTAAAAAGAGTATTGCTACAAAATCAAGAAACCTGTACTAAACAAAAATATCAAAATGTGTAGCTTTTACCTCACAACATATCCTCTCTCAAGGAATGCACACTTCTAAAATCAGTGTTTCCATCTCTCTGAAACCTTTCCTCAGAGAGCTGTTCACTCTTCAATTCACACCATGCCAAAACAGCAGTTTGGGCATCCTCGAGGTGTTGCCAAGAACAAGGGTCTAGAATTGCTGTCATTATGTCAGCCAAAGGTAGATTCAAGAAATTCTATTCTGTACATGCCTGTATTTAGACCCCTGTAAATGTCCTTTGCCTCCTAGCTCCTTCCTCTATTTCCTTTTACTTTCCTCTTGTCCCACTATCATGTTCAGCCTTCATTTGGGCTTCAGTCATTTCTCTCGGTTACATTGACCTTAATCAAGCCCTACCAGGCCTCCTACACCTTCCTTGCCATTGATTTTGGATCACTTGTTGTTCCCTTGTCCCTGGGTTTGTTAACACCC